ATGACATTGGCTAGTAGACGGAACCCGGAGGAGGCCTAATCTGTGTGATCTAATGGGTCTTTGGTAGGTAATTGGCAGGTTCTATGTAGATAATCCTTGATTTACAATCTATCAATTTAGTGACTATTTGAAGTTAAGATGAACTTAACTTGGGGCTACCTATGACCTGGTTCTGAGGTTCCAATGGTCAGACCCCTTCTATGGTCACATTTTGGGTACTTGGCAACCTAGCCTCCTTTATGTCTGTGTGCATCATCCCATGGTCACCTGAGAATGTTTTACAACAATTTTGCCAAAAGCTGGCACATCTAGTTTTCAGTAAAACTGTGCCAATAGTGAACCATAGGTTTGCTTAACAGTGTTAGCTGCTTTAGGACTGCTGCGTTCATTTAACGACCATTTCAAAAGCAAGATTGTAAAATCGGGTCAGTCACAGACCCATTTTACAACTGCCACAACTTAAACTGTAACAGGCAGGCTCCATTATGGTCATACGTTGAGGAGTACCTGTAGCAACCAGAACTCTTCTTATTGGCTGAGGATTCTGATTGCAGCCATAGTACATCCGAAGCACTCCAATTCGGTTAAGTCTGCTTTCTGTAGATTGAGGCAGAGGAGAGGCAAAGGAGACAGAACTGCGAGAGTCTTCGGAATATTGTTGCACAGGAAGCTTCTCTTTATTCTAACACATAGCACCGTTTCAGCAGGCGGGTTGTGAACGTAGCACAGTGTAATGATCAGTCCGCTACCTTTAAGTAAAATAACCTTCCCATTGAAATTCAGACACAATGCTGCCATTTGGACTGAGCCACATCTAAGTGGATGACGATAACATACAGATGGTGAGTCACACATCTTCCAAAAGGATGATAGGGTGTACTTCACTGATAAGCTGCAGATGTAAATTACTGCCAAGCAGGTCACAAATAAGAAAAAAATAATGCATACCTATATTAAGAAGTTGGGAAGGGGGGGTATGCTTATTTAAAGCCCCTATCTTGGCATAGCAGAAGCTCTGTGAAACAATCAGCCTTACCTGAAACACTGTCCTGCTTTTTACCGAGTGCTCAAAATTTTCAGAGCATTCTGGGAAAATGACTTTGTATTGAAAATGCATTTAAACTAAATACAAATATATGTTTGATGCCGCTTGCTGTTCATAAATTAATTCTATACCTGTACTTCAAAGATGCATATTATACTAGAATTATTATATGTATCAGCATTATTCATGATGTTTGAACCTAGGTAAATAATGGTTAAAGTTAACTCAACATCTTTGAGCTTTGGTTTATTAGCATAGTTGAATTCCTAATGCATAACTAATGCAACACGCAGTCCTTGATTTATGACTGCAATTAGGATTGGGATTTTGGTTGCTAAATAATGCAGTCATTAAGCAAGTTTTTGTGAGACCAGATCCAATTTTGCAACCATTTTACTGTGGTTGTTAAACAAATCATGTGGTATTTAAGTGAATCAAGCAGTCATTAAACGAATTGATTTCCACGATTGACTTCGTTTATTGGAAGTGAGCTGGGAATATTGCAAATTGTGATCCAGTGACTACAACACTCTGCAGCCATTGAAAATACAAGTGGTCACCGAGCATCTGAATTGTGATCAGGTGATTGTGGAGGTTGCATGATAATTGTAACTTCAAGGATGACTTGTAAGTCCTTTTTTCCAAGGCTGCTATAACTCCAAACCATTGAGAAATGAACAGTTATAAATTGAGGACTATGTAGTCATTATTTTATGATGGGCCAAATGCATAATGACAGTTAATTGAAAACAGGAACAAGAGCTTCTAATTCTGCAATTATACTATATGAAGTAAGGAGTAGAGTCAGCCTGCAGACCTAAGGCTCAGCCATACTTATTCCTGTAGCATCAATAGTACTATTTAGCGTTGTATGCACACATTCAGTTGCAGTGTTCACAGACAATCTACAGTTATTACATAGCTTGATAGTTTCTGATGTTGGGTAAACCATCCATTGTGTCTTATAGACCACAGTTTATGGCTTAGTCTTACAAACTGGGAGGAGAGGGTCATATAAAAACCTTCCTGGCAGACCTTGCTTTCTAAGAGTTTCCCAAAAGTTAATAACAGGCAACCATCAAGTCAGTTAGAACTCTTGAATACTGCCTATTCTGTCCAATGGGGAGGGCTATCTTCTACCCATGATTTCTTCAGCCCAGCTCTAGGCAAATGGAAAAGAAGATGCTTTGGATCTTTTTGCCCAAAGCTCAGAAACATAGAATATAACAAATCTAGTGTCAGTTTAGAAGCACAGGGCAGTGTGAAATTTTTAAGAGGAAAGTTTTAATGAAAAAAACCCTTATGAAACTAATTTGTTCTCTGACTCCTTCCCAGGATCAAAGGATGAGCTCCTTGCGTTTACTTCTGATGTGATTTCATTAGTACCTGAGTCTTGTGCAATGTTATACATGCCATTAAACCTCCATAGTAATCAAACTGAATCTCTCTCTCTCTCTCTCTCTCTCTCTCTCTCTCTCTCTCTCTCTCTCTCTCTCTAAAAGAAATTAATTGGTGAAAGAGGTGTATATGGAAAACAAGGGAAGGCAATAGCCGTACATACAGAATTATAAATAAAATCAGTAGATTCAGCTCAGCTAAACGAGATCCTTCTTATATCGTAACAATAAGATCCTGGCATTTGGCAGATATTCCCTGCAGAGAGGATGATTGAAAAGGAGTCTTAGGATTTCTTTACTCTCTCTCTCTTCTTTTCCTTTTCCTTTTCCTTGTTTTGCTTCTGAGCACTCAGTTTTGTAGGAAGTGAGGCGCAAATAAAAAGCAACATCTTTGGGGAAGCTAGTTCTTGCTTTGCTCAGTCAAGGAATATGTTGCATCTCTGATATTCTGGCAGTAGAAATTAGAGTTATCTAGAGTATAAACCCAACTTCCTAATGACTCTAGGTCAGGTGTGTCAAACTCAAGACTCAAGGCCTGCATCTGGCTCGCAGGGTGCTTAGAACTGGCCAGTGGGGCCGCCCTGGAAACAGCGGACTGGCCCATGGTGCCTCTGCCAATGAAAAGGGAGCTCAGGAGGGCCGCAGATGGCCTCCCCGAGCTCTGTTTTTGCTGGCAAAGGGCCATAGGAGGCCTTCGTGGCTGAAAACGGAGCCTTGAGTGATGTTGAGATGGCCATGCTCCCTAAGATCAAACACAACCTTGATGCAGCCCTCAATGAAATCAAGTTTTACACCCCTGCTGTAGATTTGCATGGTAGACATTGGAAAAATAAAGAGCTGAGTTCTGTCTCTTCAATTATCTTAGCTGTCAATCAAATGGAGCTCTGTCATGCCACACAAAAAGTAGAGTTTGTCACACTTAGTGGAATATTGTCTTAAATCTCAGTTAAATTAATCATGGGTTACTCTGGAACTAATATGAAAGCATGTCAGTCTGTATAAAGCTCACTTAAGTGTTTCTACATATTAAATGTGTATTTGTGCCAGACTCCTCAGATGTAATTCCACCAGACTCTTTAAATATTTAAATCCCCATCACTTAGGACATCACATGTGCTTGTCAGAAGAAGGTTGGGATCATTTTGGAACAGATATCTCTGTGCTTGTTTCTGCTTTTTTGCTTTGTGCTGCAATGCAGTTACAGCATTGGTCATTTTGCAATGTGGACATTTTCTGCTGGCGTTTTCCTCAACCATCCTTTGTTTTGAGGTAGCTGGTATACATTCAGATCAGGCAAAAGGCAGCTGGCAGGTAAAGTCAGAAAACAGACAAGCCATTTTTGTGTTAATGACCTGACTAATGAAATAGTGGTTCCTAGCAGGTTCTTTGCTGCTTTCTTTTCTATCACATTTGGTGCAATGCGAACTGCCAAAGTAATAAAACAGCACAAATTTAAATTCTGTGGAAGTCAGAAATCGGCTCTTAAAATGGTTGAATGCAAGTCAAGGTTTCTCTTTTCTTTTATGATCCTTAATTATTGAATATTACTTTTCTGTAATGACTTTCTTAATTTTTCCATTATAACTATAAAGTTATTGACACTTTTGTTGAATTACATGTAAACACAGTAAATAAAATGGTAGGGTATAAGAAACATCAAAGAAAACTATTGCTTTTTTTAAATTCCTAAAATCACCTCCTCTCAGGGAAACACCATTGAATCTGAACACTTATCTGAACTGACAGAGGAAGAATACGAAGCTCATTATTTAAAGCGGCAGGATCTCAAAGGCTTTATGTGGCTTGATGTCAAATATTTGAATCCTTTCTTTACCAGACGGCTCACCCAAGAGGTAGGTTCAGCCTAAAGAAATCGTATAACAGATTGATTTTCAATCTAATTTGATATCCAAGAATACGATGACTGCTATTTGTATTAAAATAACCCAAACTTCCTGCACTAACATTTTGACTTTCTCTTTATAGAAACCTCATTTAACTGGCTAGAGTCCAGGCAACCTCTGCCATGAGTTGTTCTAAGCATAGCTTAGTGTAATCATAGCCTATTGACAGATTTCTGGCTTATATTCCTTCCCTTGAGCTCTTCTTGCTTTGTGACTTTTAATTGATTGGAATCTTGATAAGGGAAGCAAAAAAGAAAACAACAAGAACAGACAAGATTTTAAAAAGCATTTTGTTGCAGGGATGTTTTTCAAGTGGGTGTAGTGTGGCAGCAGGGAAGAAGGCAGTAGAGCAGAGGTGGGTTTCAACTGGTTCGCGGCGGTCCCCGTGAACCGGTTGGTCGGCGAACCCGGAAGTAAGTAACTTCCGGGAACGGCGAAGGTCCCGCCCGCCCACCCGCCCGCGCTCCTTACCCGGTTTTGACGAGTTCTGCGCTTCCACGCATG